ACCGTGGTTCAGCAGACACACTCTTCATTCTTCCCCAGCACTGTCCTCTTCCTACCTGTAATTGTTTATCATTATGATTATGATGATGATGATGTCTGTGTGATCGTATGCCATTTCTGTGCGAGTGCCAGAGGCCAAAAGAGGGTGTCAGATTCCTGGAGCTGAGGTTATGTACTCTGCCTCCTCCTGCTGGTGTGCCTGGCCCTCAGGAATTTTTATTCTTTAACATTTGTCAAAGCTCATGTAGGTTGCGGTAGAAGAGCATCCATGAATCCTGTCCCACACGTGTTCACACTGTGGTTCTCTTTGCCGATGCTCATTGCCCATCTTTTGTAGCTCTTCATCTGAGGGACTATGAAGACATCATTCCCTCTGTTGAGATCTACTCGTTACTAGCACTCTGTGCTTGCGCAAGCAGAGCTTTTGGTACCTGTTCCAAAGCTTTTATTAAACTGGAATCATTAGAGACACTCAGTGCAGAACAGAAACAGCAGTATGAAGACCTGGCTCTGGAAATCTTCACCAAACACACGCCAAAGGACAACAGGAAGTCGGAGTTGAACAGCCTTCTTGAAGGGTACGTGCGTCGTAATTAGATGCCATTTACCTGATTAGAAGCTTGGATATAATAAAGCACTGGATTTTGAAGGAGTTTATGTTAATATTTAAATCAATTTTATCCTAGAAGGGTATAGTAATGCTGTATTTTTTTCATTTAGAGAAAAGGTTTTATTAAAAAAACTGAGATGAGGTATTTTTATTTGAAGTTTGTCTTGGAATGTTTTTCATTCTTGAGTATTTAAAGTATATTAGATAGTTTACTAATCACATATTTTAAAGTCTAATTGTTTTCTCTCTTACTCTTTGCAGTGGAGAAGGAAAACTGCCGACATGCATTGCCACTGGAAGCCCAATCATCGAGTATCAGTTCTGGGTGTGCAAAGTGTGCAAGCACTACGTTCTTGCTCAGGAGATCAGTAACTATAACTTCTGTCCTTTATGCCACAGTTCGGTAGAATAAAGGCAAGAACCTTGTTAATTGTAAAATACATGAGATATATGTACTTATCCACACATGTATATGAAATAATGCTTGAGTTCCTTAGGTTTCATATGAAAATTAATTTTATCATCTTGTAGTTGTATTTTTGTATAAAAGATATATCAAACAATAAAATGAGGGCTGGAATGTAGCTCAGTGGTAGGGTGCTTTCCAAGCATGCACAAGGCCCTGGGTCCATTGTCAGTACCGGAAAAAAAAAAGATAATTCATGCATCACAGTTCAACTGTGAGATAATTTGACTAATTTTCACATAATACCTACAGATGTGAAGTTTATTTTTTCTATATTTCCTGTCTATCCATTTATCATTTATATAGCTTTTAGTTTGTGGCAAGTTACCAGGGAAATATCTCCACCAGGAATATTTTCATCATTGTCAAGGCTACTAGCTCATTAGAGAAACCTCAAGAGGTATGGAGGAGGCAGGGGAGGGCAAACCTGAAGTAGAGAGTTGACAGAGCCTGTATTTCAGGGAGGTTGAGCAGCTCTTGTATGAAATGAGCTCTGTTTCTTTCTAAGGATTAAACTCTTCTATATTTTATTTTCATAAACGAGGAGATGGCATTTTAAGACTTTTTATTATTTGAAGTTTTAAAAAATGTTTTATCCTCATTCAAGAAGAGTGATTTGGCACCAATTTTTCTTGTAATAAACATGAATGAACCGATTTTGAGTAATGCTGTTGTTCCTTATCATCAAACGTATTCTCAGTTATGCTATGGTTCCAAGTCCTCTGGAGGCCGAGGTGCTGGAATGTGGAACCAGCAGGTAAGGCCACGCAAGCGAGCAGTGAGCCTGAGTGCACATTCTGACCTTCAGTCACGATACGAAGGTCGTTATATTTTGCTAAAATGAACTTTAAAATAACCTTTCTGTATTTTCAGAGTTCAGATCTTAGGTTTTTATGAGATTTTATTTGAAATAAACACAAAAACTATAAAAACTATAAATTCTGAAGGAAAAAATGGCATGTTTACTCCCATGTTTTCCTTTGCTATCATGTATAAAAATGTACTTGTGTTGTCTTTGTTTAGATATTTTGGTGGACACACACACACACACACACACACACACTCACATCACATTTGTTATCACATGGGAGACAAACCTAACAGTTTTTAGACAAATTCCCGGTGAAGTTTTAGGCAAATTGTCCGTGGCAGAGAATTGTGAGAATTGTGCCCTCAGAGATCACACAAATTTCACATTCAGAGACAAGTTAAAAATGGTTACAAAGACAACTTTGTTGACATAGCTTCATACTCTCATTCTGGAAATGCAAAATGAAGACAGCAATATTATGTTGCCCTCTGCTGTCTATTTCTATAATTATTTTCTCAATGTTTTTAAGAAAGTATTTTTAACTATGAAAGTAATATGCTCATAGTATTAATTTTTGGAAATATGTAAGAATATAGGTGAGAAAGTAAAAATAGCCTTAACTTTTTAAGAAATAGTGTTCATTTATATTTCAGTTGAATTTCAAAAAAGAGGTGAAGTTGAGAAATGTGTATATTACAAACAAGTGTTTCACAAGATATTTAGACATTTCTCTAAAATTAAAAATACATCAAAAGACTAAGCTTATTTAAGCACTTTCTTATATGGTACACATTAAATATCTGATTAGTAAAATTTAGAGAAATTTGAGCCTGGTAAGATAGAAGTTGGGTTCTCAGTACCTACATAAAAACAGATGTTAGTAGACTGCCTGTTACCCCAGCAGTTGGGAGGTTCATGTGGGATCTCCTGGGCAAGCTGGTTAGCTGGCCTAGGAGAATTGTTAGCAAGCACTGGGGTTCAGCATGAGACCCTGTCCCAGGAAAGTGCAGAGCAGCCGAGGGAGATACTCATCAACCTCTGGTCTCATATCCATGAACATGTGCACACACATGCGAAAAGAGACACACAGATCCGTTAAAAAAAATAAAATATAGACCCGTTAAGAAATAAAAGCGGAAGTGAAAAGGGTGAGAAGAGCTATGCCACATGAGAGTGGTCAGGGCAAGAAAGCCCATATGGACTCACTAATAGCAGTTACAGTAAAAGGGCTTCATTTTGCAAATGCTTTTCTGTGTGCAATTGAGAAGATCACACAGTTTTTCTTCTTTCATTCTGCTAAAGTGGGATGTTACACTGGTTAGTTTTCACGGGCTGAGTTATCCTTGTATTTCAGGAGTAATTCCCATTTGGTTCCAGTCTATAATTCTTTCACTGTATTGCTGCATTTGATATGGTAGTCTTTTGTTGAGTTTTCTATTGACGCAGGCTGGAGAAATGGTTCAGCCATTAAAGGATAGGCTCACAACCAAAATGTCAAATTTGGCATTAATGTACTCACAGAGGATAAGGTCTGTAGTTTTCTTCTACTGAAATGGTTCTCAGTCTGTGGGTTGCAACACTTTTGGAGTTGCCTAGGACCACAAGAAACACAGATATTTACATTATTATTCCTTACAGTAGCAAAATTACAGTGATTAAGAAGCCACAAAAATGATTTTATGGTTGGGGGTCACAACATGAGGACCTGTATTAAAGGGTCACAGCGTTAGGAGGACTGAGAACCAGTACTCTATTATCTGCTAAATATTGACATTGCAATTCCAAGCATTGCTTTACAGAATAATGTATGATGTGTTTTTTTTTCCTGTTGTTTTTAGAATTAAAGGACTGGCGTTGACTCTTCCTTAAATGCTTATAATCACCGGGGTAGCCAGCAGATCTAAAACATCAGTCTCTCCCAGTTAGAGGTCTGTTGGCTTTCCTAGTTCTTCAGGAGTCAACATTGGTTTCTATTGACTTTCCCAGCCAACCTTTACAGAAAAAAAAACATGATACTAACCATCATCTAACTTAAAAAGACTTTGGTGCCAGGCAGTGGTGGTGCACACCTTTAATCCCAGCACTCAGGAGCAGAGGCAGGCAGATCTCTGAGTTGGAGGCCAGCCTGCTCTACAGATTGAGTTCCAGGACATCCAGGGCTACAAAGAGAAATCCTATCTCAAAAGAAACTAAAAAACCCTAAACCAAACAAAAAACTAAAAAGACTTTGCTTTCCTGCTAAGCTGCAAGGTTCTGAGGACAAAAAGCTTTGTTCACTGTATTAATCCCACTTTTAAAATCTGTGTGCACCACACTGTAGACTTAATATACACTTGTTCAGCAGGAAGTTCTATGTTAATAAGATTACAATTATTTTATGTCCTTCTTCTCTGACCTTTGATTTTATACCCAATTTCACCAAATGCCTCATAATATCTATTTTGTGCCACTGTGACCATGTTAGTCTGGGTCACTTAAAAATGAATTCATTCGATTCAGTTTTGGGGGCTGAGGAGTCCATGTATGTATAGGCCTTCTTGCCTCACCATAGCATAGTACACGCCATACAAAGAACAGGTGTGGAGCAGTGTGCCTTTTAAATGACTGGCACTAGTCCATTCCTGAGGGTGGAGCCCCCTGTACTGGGCCGCGCATCAGCACACTGTTCCGCTCGGGCGGGGTGGGCATAAAAAGAACTGCATTCTTTTTATTTTTGGAACTTACTGTTTTAAATATGTAGCTTTTAATTCACCCAGAATCAGCACATAAGCACCGTATGTTATGTGCTTTCTTAAAAACCTCTCTAGAACAATAGGAACTGACTTCAGGGCCAATCTCCTCCCTTCCTGGCATCAGGCTCCTCAAATAAATATATATGCACATATCTATATCTAATCTCTATCGTCTACCAACCTACCCACTTAATCATCTACCTACCCACCCATCCAACTAGTATGTACGTATGCATGTACGTATGTATATACATATACAAGCATCACTGAGATTTTAATTCTCTTAATTTCCCACCAGCTTCGCCAGGTGCTGGCAGATATCTCGCGATATGACGGGTCCTCAAACAGGACAAACTTCCTCATTCTTTAGTGGGCCCTTCCGTTGGCCAATTAAGTCCGTTGTGCGGGCCGCTGTGGTTCCGCTTCCACCCGAGCGAGGCGGCCATGGCTGAGCCGCCGGACCGAGAGAGCCGGGAGACGCCGGCCGCCCTGGCGCTGGCCCAGGATCGCTTCGCCAGGGGCGAATTTGCCGAGGCGCAGGCGCTGTACTCGGCGTTCATTGGCCAGTGCGCGAGTCGCGGGAGGTAACTATCGCGAGACGCGGACCGCGCGGGGTGGTCCTCGCACGGACGCGGTCTTCGGAGCCGGGACCGCGCATCCAGGGGCCGTAAGACGCTGCTGGTCTGCCCAACGGCCAGGGGAAGCCGCGTCCCCGGGCCGGGAAGGTGGCCCGGCTGCACCGTCATCCTAATGATCCCGGGGAGAGCTTTGCGAAGGTTCCGGTTCAGAAGCTAAGGCTTCTTAATAAGACAGCCTATAGCACCCCAAGATAACTTTCTACGGAATTTCTCGCCGTCGGTGGCATTTTTATTGACCAGTAAAGCTCTCTGTCATTTGGATGTTTGGGTTTGAGAAGTTTACCAAGATACACATCTGAGCGCCTGAGTTGAGCCAGATGTCTGTGAAAGTCCGGCTACTAAGGTTTTGACATCTAGGGGGTCTTGTCTAGGTTCCTGTTGTCTGCCAGTTAAAGAATTAAAAGGCAGTAAAAATCTCAAGGAATGAGAAGACATGGGGCAGGCAGAGCGGAGGGGGATTTCAGGAATCCCCAAATTCAGTGTTCTGGGGGATTTAAGGGACTGAGGTTGGTTAGCTTAAACAGTGGGTGGCTGAAAAAGCCTTCAACTTTGTCCTAAACACATCCTGACCCAGCTTTGAACTTGTGTAGGAGAAGGGCAGATCTATCAGCAGGGGGCCCTGCTGCTGGGAGAAGGGAGGAAAGTCTCACCAGGCCTCCTTTTTAGGCTGCCAAGTTTTTGTTTCAGTTCAGCAGGGTAAGGAGGAAGCCGGCCAGCTTGTCCTGGCTCCTTTCCTGCTCTATCTACCTGTCAGGGAATTCTTAACTCCCAGTCCCTCTGTGTTGGTTGTGAATTGGTCCTTAAATCTGGAGGCTTAGCCGGGCGGTGGTGGCGCATGCCTTTAATCCCAGCATTTGGGAGGCAGAGGCAGGCGGATCTCTGTGAGTTCGAGGCCAGCCTGGTCTACAAGAGCTAGTGCCAGGACAGGCTCCAAAGCTACAGAGAAACCCTGTCTCAAAAAACCAAAAAAAAAAAAAAAAAAAAAAAATCTGGAGGCTTGATCCAACTCAGGAGAAACTTTCTGTCTGCCGGTTCACATTTCCCCTGTAAGCACTTGAAGTTTGGTCTTACTCTTTATGATATTAGCAGGCGTGTTAGCTTCTCTGCTGATGCCTGGGTCTGTAGCATTACTGTGTCAAACTTAGCCTTTGTTGTGCTTGTGGATGGTGTGATGTGAACACAGAGAAATAGGTTGGGCAATTTTTCAATTCTTGTGTGACCTGCAACATCACACTTCTCTTGGAAGGTTTTTTTTTTGTTTGTTTGTTTGTTTTTGAGACAAGGTTTCCCTGTGTAGTCCTGGCTATCCTGGAACTCTCTCTGTATACCAGGCTGGCCCTGAATTCAGAGATCCACCTGTCTCTGCCTCCCACAGTGCTGGAATTAAAAGCGTGCGCCACTATGCCTGGCTCATCCTAGAAGATTTCTTAATAGAATTCAAAGTTGTCTTTTGTGTGAGATCTAATACTGAAGGCGGCATTCTTATTTGTTTCTAAGACTCACGGGGAATTAAGCCAGAAAGCTAAAATTGCTTTCTTATTTTAGTACTTTATTAACAGGATATCTAATAGAAATGTCTTTTTCTTTCTTTTTTCTTTTTTATTGAGAAAAGGAAAAAAAAATGTTTCCGCCTCCTCCCAGCCTCCCATTTCCCTACCCCTCCTCCCACCCTTCTCTCCCTCCCCCCACTCCTCTCCCCCTCCCTCTCCAGTCCAAAGAGCAGTCAGGGTTCCCTGCCCTGTGGAAAGTCCAAGGTCCTCCCCCCTCTGTCCATGTCTAGGAAGGTGAACATCCAAACTGGCTAGGCTCCCACAAAGCCAGAACATGAAGTAGGATCAAAACCCCGTGCCATTGTCCTTGGCTTCTCATCAGCCCTCATTGTTCGCCATGTTCAGAGAGTCTTGTCTTATCCCATGCTTTTTCAGTCACAGTCCAGCTGGCCTTGGTGAGCTCCCAATAGATCAGCCCCACTGTCTCAGTGGGTGGGTGCACCCCTCGTGGTCCTGACTTCCTTGCTCATGTTCTCCCTCCTTCTGCTCCTCATTGGGACCTTGGGAGCTCAGTCCGGTGCTCCAGTGTGGGTCTCTCTCTATCTCCATCCATCACCAGATGAAGGTTCTATAGTGATATGCAAGGTATTCATCAATATTGCTATAGGATAGGGTCATTTCAGGTTCCCTATCCTCAGCTGCCTAAGGAACTAACTGGGGACATCGCCTTGGGCTCCTGGGAGCCACTCTAGGTTCAAGTCTCTTGCCAACCCTAAGGTGGCTCCCTTAACTAAGAATTGTGCTTCCGTGCTCCCCTATCCAACCTTCCTTTATCCCAATCATCCTGTTTCCTCAAGTTCCCCTCATTCTCCCCTTCTCCCTTTTCTCTCCCCATCTCCCCTTACCCCCATCCCACCCCACCCCCAAGATCCCAATTTTCTCCCCAGCAATTTTGTCTACTTCCCATAGCCAAGAGGATAACTATATGTTTTTCCTTGGGTTCACCTTCTTATTTAGCTTCTTTAGGTTCACCAGTTGTAGACTCTGTGACCCTTATTTATGGCTAGAAACCAAATTATGAGTGAGTACATCCCATGTTCATCTTTTTGGGTCTGGGTTACCTCACTCAGGATAGTGTTTTCTATTTCCATCCATTTGCATGCAAAATTCGAGAAGTCATTGTTTTTTACCGCAGCGTAGTACTCTAATGTGTTTATATTCCACACTTTCTTCATCCATCCTTCCATTGAAGGGCATCTAGGTTGTTTCCAAGTTCTGGCTATTACAAATAATACTGCTATGAACATAGTTGAACAAATGGTTTTGTCATATGATAGGGCATTTCTTGGGTATATTCCCAAGAGTGGTATTGCTGGGTCCAGGGGTAGGTTGATCCTGAATTTCCTGAGAAACCGAAACACTGATTTCCAAAGTGGTTGCACAAGATTGCATTCCCACCAGTAATAGCCAGAAATGTCTTTAAAAATTACAGTATTTTTATTAATTCTTTGAGAATTTCATACAATGTATTCTGATAATCTTCACAACCCCCCCCCCACCCCCAATTTAACTCCACTGAGCTCTGCTCATACTTCTTCACCTTTTTTGGGGGAAGGGGTAAACAGGTCCCATTTTGTGCTGCCCATCTACTCAAGTATGTGGGCCATCTAAGAGTTTGGTCCACCTATTAGGGGCCATGCCCTTAAAGAAAATTCTCCCTCCCTCCCTCCCTCCCTCCCTCCCTCCCTCCCTCTTCCTCTCTGATTCCCTTAGGGGTCTATATCTCTTCTGGGGTAGGGACTGTGCCCCCCCTCCGTGCTGGAGTGTTAACCGTCTTGATGGTGTGCAGACAACCACAGCCTGTCTGAGTGAGTCGGGTGCAGTGGCCCTGCCATGCGCAGAAATCACAGTTTCGCTGTTTCAACCCCAGGCTCTTGCAGTTTTTCTGACTCTCTTCCCCATCCCCCCGCCAGCCTTGGGGGAAAGGGTTATGAATGTAAGCAGAGCACTCCACTGACACTTTATTAACACAGAGATGCTAAAATGATGTTAGTATTCCTCTTTCATCCCCCCCCCCCCACACACACACACTGAAAAAGGCTGGCCAACACAGGGGACTTTGTTTCTATTGTTGTCACTCAGGAAGCAGCAACAGGTATGGGGGCACTACTTGGGCTTGTTATTCTTCCCCCTTTGCAGGTTTCAGCACAAGAACCCATGTCTGCCTGGTGTAGGTAGGAGCTCAGCATGCTCACGTTCTAGTCTCAGCACCGCTGTATTGCTGGCACTTTTTCTCTGGCCAGTTTCTCTTCTGTAAAATCAGTTTCCTTAGAGTTCAAAACTTGAAGTCTGTCAGTTAAACTTGTACCCTTAAATATGCCTTTGGAAAGTTAAATTTATTTTTTAAAACATTGGGTGGCTGAATCATTTTTGAAATAGTGTTTATAATCCTTGACTGCTTTTCACTGTGACTTGTCATTTTTTTTAATAGCCAAGGTGCAGCTTTAGCCGTAATTTAACTTTTCAAATAATTATCTTGTCCAATGTTATCGCATGCTAAAATTCCATATTTAGATTAGGTAGATGCAGTATAGATAATACTGTCCTGGATATCAGTGTGTAAAGGTGCTTGCCATACAAACCTGAGTCCCACCCTGGAATGCCTGTGAAGCTGGAAGGAGACCCACTCTGCAGGACCCCTACAGATACACGGTGGCGTGTGTCCTCCCACCACACACACACAATAAATAAATTCCCAAAAGAAATACTGTCTTTAAAAAATATCAGTATTATAACAATAAAAGTCAATGTGTTGGCCCATCTCCCACTCTCTTTAAAAAATGATTTCTTATAAATCGTATGGGTCTTTTGCCTACATATGTGTCTGTGTATCAGGTACATGCAGTATCCACAGAGGCCAGGAGAGGTCATTAGATTCTCTGGCACTGAAGTTACAGATGGTTGTGAGCCACCATGTGTGTAGTAGGAGCTGCGTGTTGCATTCCTGCCGCCCTGCTCCCAGCCACCTGGCTAGCTTATGCCCTGAAATAACAACACACAAACTGTATTCATTTAAACACTGCCTGGCCCATTTCTATTAATGTGTGTAGCACCGAGGTGCGCTTACTGGGAAGATTCTAGCCTACGTCCATCCTGGGTCGGAGCTTCATCGCGTCTGCCATAGAGAGCAGAGCTATGGGATCTGTCTGAGGCATCTTACCTCACTTCCTCTTCCTCCCAGCATTCTGTTCTGTTTACTCCACCCACCTATGTTCTAACCTATCAGGGATTAAAGGTGTGTACTACCACACCCAACTACTCTCTTCTTTTTTTTTTTTTTGTTTTTTACTTTAAGAACTTTAACTTTTAGCCTGCATATATTTTTAACACATTGTAAATCATTTAAATGTTTTCTTCAACTTTGACTCTTTCTTTTACTGAATATCTCTCTTTTTGTGACCACATGAGTCTTTAATTTACCAAGCAATATCGGGTAGGACTAAAGCCGTGGCTTTGACGGCTGGATCCAGCCCATTCCTTAGCTTTCCAGCCTCATGGCTGAGGTACCGCTGGAGCCATTTTTATTGCCACAACTCTGTGGCATTTCAAAGTCCCTGCCAGCAAGTAAGCTGCAAGTCGGCGTTTGCCCCGGTAGGATGGCCCAGAAAGCTGGCATTTTACAGCAGTGCAGCTTTTTTCCTTCTGCGGCTGAAAACTGAAAAGCATGTGTTCAGCTTTTCATCAACACCATTTAAGTGTTTCATGGCAGGACCTCTTAAAAGAGCTGCAAGCTTTGCAGCTAAAGCTGAGTTAGGAAGCCTCTCTTAGATGAGAGCGCTTGCTTGCCTTTAGCAAGCAAAGCAGACCCAAGAAATTGCTGCTACCACTTCGGGCGCCCCTTCTGTTTGAAGGAGCTGCAGGTTGCATTCCGCCACCCAGCTCCCGCCACTGGCTAGCTTTACCCAGAAATAACAACACACAAATTGTATTCTTTTAAACACTGCTTGGCCCATTATATCTAGCCTCTTCTCGGCTAACTCTCGCACCTGGACTAGCTCATTTCTAATAATGTGTGTAGCACCCCAAGGTGCGCTTATTGGGAAGATTCTAGCCTACGTCTATCCTGGGTCGGAGCTTAATCGCATCTGCCTCAGAGAGCAAAGCTATGGTATCTGTCTGAGGCGTCTTACCTCACTTCCTCTTCCTCCCAGCATTCTGTTCTGTTTACTCCACCCACCTATGTTCTAACCTATGAGGCCAAGCAGTTTCTTTATTAATTAACCAATGACCTTTTTCCATCACATATGGGCTGCTGGGAATCGAACCTGGGTCCTCTGAAAGAGCAACAAGTGCTCTTAACTGTTGAGACAACTCTTCAGCCCCTGCCCATGTCTTTAAGGCTGCAAACAAAATGTTTGCTTTCATGAAAAGTAGGATTTTAGAATTGGCTTTAATGAAATTTAACATTCTGCAATTATCTGAGGATTAGAATTTATAACAAAGCTTTGGAACCTCAAATGAATAATGAAAATTTTACCGAAGTCCCAAGGTGGCATTTTTTTTCTGAAGTGTGGGAGCATCAGGTCAGCTAGTGACCTAACAGATAGAGGACACACTGTTCTGTCCTTTATCCTTTAAGGGTGGTGTTAGTGGCCATCAGAGGCATCCTTGTGTCCCTCAGACTTTCTCAGGCAGAGCTGACAGAACAAAGTCTCTTAAGTTGCCACAGCTCCTCCCACTGTTAGGAAGTCTGCACTGCAGGACCATGTGGGCCTGGTGGGACATCTTTGTACTAGGGAGGCAGAGACCAGCTGCCTCAACAAAGTGAATTCCAGGCTGAAAAACCAAAACAGTCAAACAAAATAAGCTGTAAGGACCCCTGTGTGTGGCAGTAGCCACTTCCTCAGGGATTGATATGTCATGAGAAACAGCAGATGGGCCAGCGATATGGCTCATCAGGTATATGTGCTTGCTGTGCCAGCCTGGAAACTGAGTTCGATTCCTGGAGCCCATGTAAAGGTGGTGAGAGAGAGAACTGATGTCACAGAGGATTTGCTTCTTTCCATGTGCCTGCTTCACACACACATAATATGTGTTATATACACATTTTTCAGGAAAAAAAACTAAATGACTACGGTTAACAATATTTCTGAGGACTATACTTTGTACCAGCAAGTATAACAGAAGATGGGTTGATGTGTAGTTCCTCTGTTTGGTTCAAATTTGACAGTCAACTTTGGGCAAAAAAGAGAAAAGGAAGAAAGGAAGGAAGGAAGGAAGGAAGGAAGAGAGAAATGAAGACAGAAATACCCCTGACTCGGAGCAGTGAAGATAGTTTGTTGTAGGTAGTGTGGGGGAGGCTTTGACCTGATGGCTGCTCCTACAGGTCCACACCAGCTGCTGGGTGTCTGGGCTCTCATGGGAAGGACAGAACTGTGGAATATTCCACTGACGGTTAGCCACTGCTTAACCAGTGTTTCTTTACTGGCAGAAAATGATTTCAGATCTCATTGTTTGAAGACCACTTACATTTTTGAGTAAATTAAAACTGTGATACGTTTGTAGCACTCTGCTACCTTGGCGGGCTTTCCTTGATAGGATGTATTTATTCCCTCCAGTGTGGGCTCTAAAAATGTTCAACAATCATTTTAGTATTGGGCAAAACATGTAGGCAATGACCAGGGGCTTTGAAGACTCTAAAATGCATGGACTTCAAATCCACGTTGTGCTATAGCCACAGGAGAGTCACCCATGGCTCTAAACAGGCATGGATTTCTGTTTCTCAAGCGCCTTTTGCTTCTTCAGCTTGGCAGTTCAGCTTTTCCACAGTGTGTTGTAGGCTATGGAGTTTGACAGTGCCCTAAAGAACATGGGAGTGGAAGTGAAGGGAGTTGAACAATGTGTTTTTAATGTGGACTTTTTGTTTAAAGCAAATGCAGCCCCGAGGATTTGGCCACTGCATATAACAACAGGGGGCAAACCAAGTACTTCAGCGTTGATTTTTATGAAGCCATGGACGACTACACATCTGCTATAGAAATCCTGCCCAACTTTGAAGTGCCGTATTACAACAGGGGCTTGATACGCTACAGGCTGGGTAAGGTTTGTTTGTTTCTCTCCCCCCCCCCCCTTTTTTTCTTTTTCTTTTCTTTTCACATGGACTGTATTCCGTTGCTTCAGAGTGATCAATTCTTGTGAAGGAATCAAGTTTGACAGTTAGGTGAAATTTAGGTTTAGAGCTAAGGAATGAGGGAAGCGTTCCTGAGGGTTTTTGGTTTTGTTTTGTTTTTAGGCATTTCCTAGACATTATAGACCACAGCGGAGCCCTGCTGTGGGAATGGGACCTGGACGCAGGAGCAAGGGTGACCCTGTTACTCTGCGCCTGCATATTCCCAGCCTCAAAAATTAGGGTAATGTTGAAGTGTGCCTATGATTCTTTCTGGTTGAAAGGCAGGGGGCAGTCCAAAGTGAAATTCTTAAAAACCAATTTAACGGGGCTTTGGATATTGTTTTCCATTGAAAAGAAAAAGAAAAAAATCTATTTCTCAGTTTTACTGCAGCTACGTAAAACGGGTGATATAATTTTGTGGAAATTTTATGATGGTTTATATGCTGCCCACCTATGAAGTCTGATAGAAGCCATCGCTAATTTTCTGTGGTTTTGGTGTTTTGTTTTGTTAGAGGTTGAACCCAGGGCCTCATGTTTGTTAGACGAGTGCTGAGCACCCTTCCCTACCCTCCAGTGCTGATTTTAGACTCCCTTGTTCAGAAGGGCACACATTACTGTGACAGACCACCTTAGAGCACTTGAGAGAGGCAGCTTCCTTTCAGAGGCAATTTTAAAAGCTCATAAATGTGAAAATCTGTATATCCAAACTTGACTGTACAGTTGTGGAAATCCTCAACTTTTCTTTCTCCTGTTTGTCTCTGGGATTCTGACATAGGGTACTTTGATGAAGCTCTGGAAGATTTCAAGAAGGCACTGGACCTCAATCCTGAGTTTCAAGATGCTGTTTTGAGCTTCAAACAGACTATTTTAGACAAAGAAGAAAAACAAAGAAGAAATGCTGAGAAAAATACTGAAACTTTTAATTTATTGAAATTTTAACTCATGATCCTTAAACCTCAACTAAGATACACGTGGAACACTTTTGATTATATGTAAGAGGCTGCATTTTAGAAGTGAAAGTAAAATAATATGTTTAATCAAAGTTATTCATTTCAAGGAGAGACCATGTTGGATAGATCTTTTAATAGAGTAAATAAATAATATCAATGTACATTATTATAGTAAAATATTTAAATCAATATGTATTATTTTTACTAAAGGTTTTATTTTTACCACATGTTTGTATTCCCAACTTTTAATTTTTTTTCCTACCCAGAGAAAGGTTGCTGGTAAGAATACAGTCCAGACACAAATGCCTCACATAGGTTCACCAGTGAATGTACTACATTTGCTTTTTCTGTGTAGCTAAAACCAAAACCTTTCACTTCAAAGTCTGATGCAGGAGGATTGCTGTGAGTTCGAGACCAGCCTGGGCTATAGAGCCCTCAAACAAAACTCAACAAAATAAGACAAAACCGAGACAGATTTTTTTGCTGACCCACTTGAGAATGAGATACTGACGTCACAGTTCTTCACCCCTAAACAGTTCCTCCCGCATTTTCGTAAGGACAATCCTTCACGGCCACACGCCACTGTAACACCTAGTAAAAATAATACTCTCGCGTGCTCCATATCCAGGCCATGTTCACATTTTCCCCGTGACTTCAGATAATTGCATCACGTTCTCCTGTCTCAGTTCTTTCCCTCTGGGGTCATCCCTGCTCATTTTCTCTCCACACCTCTTTGAGAACTCACTCCCTTTACATATGGTAATGGGTCGAGAGACAGGACTCCTGGGCTTCAAAATAAGCACTCGCTTATGAGAGAGCAGTTGGAAACAATTCTTCCGCGCTTGATTTTTTTTTTAATAAAAATTATTAGAAAGATGGGCAAAGGTTTAAGTATCAAATATAGTTTCTGTCTCTGGATGACTATAATAATTGACACCAGCGCGTTTCTCGAATACTTAGTACAAGCTAAATCCTGCTCAAAGTCTTCATGAAATGAGCAGTGTGAAGAGGGAGACGACAGAGACCAAAGCACACGTTAACGCAAAGCTTCAAGATTCTGTTCTGGGTTCTGCCAACAAACAGCAGGGCTCCCAGGACCTGGGAAGAGCCCGGAGGAAGCCAGCCGAAGCCAGCCTGTCCCTTCCACAGCTTTGTTTTTATTGTTGTGGTTTGGCATCCAAGATACAGACCCTCAACTTGAGGTCTCCCAAACTGGTTTATTGCTGCTGTGGGAAAGCTGCTCTGGGCGGAAATTGCCCCCATTGGAGAGAGACGAGCGCATTTGCCTGGCATCGCAGCCGGCAGAACTCCCTTGGTTTCAGAGGCCATCACTATCATTACCCTTAACTGGATTTTTTTCTTTTTCTTCTCTTTGTTTCGAAGTGGTCTCATGAAGGAGAGACAGCAAATCCCCTCTTCGTCTTTCGTAAATAACATCCGACGAAATCCTCGGAGAATCTGCAGGTGAACGAGTACGCAGGGAAATTAGGTGCGGAGGCCAGAAATGAAAAGTTTTATTTTGGTAATCGCTCACATTTTCCAAAATGATTTATTTCTGTTGGGAAGGGCATTAAAAGAATTTATAATGTTGTATGAAAGCAGAAAGCTCGCTTTTAAAACGGCTTTTCTGTTAAAAAATAAAAACAAAGGAACGCAAGCTATCCTGACCTTGGGACAGCTAAACACAGTTCCACCCAGAGAATCAAGTAATACTTAAACAATTTTATTTTCTCTTGGCTCATGCTCTCTCTCTTTTTTACTCACGACTGGAATCAGATGTAGTATGAAAACGAAAACTTGTTAAAACATTTTCATTTGCTTTGCTACATTTTATCACTCAAAGTTTCTTCATTTCTCAGAAAAACATTTAGGATCAGCCCTCGCCTCCACTTCGTCTCCCTTGTTTTAAACTGGACGTAGCTAAACATTTTACCACGCTTATCTTCTCCAGAATTAGGGCCTCTCACATCCGCGGCCCATTTCTCATTGGCCGAGCGATACCTGGGGTGTTTAAATGTTGTTTATTCTCATGATTGTTCCAGTACCCCCAAATCCAGTTCACTGCTGCTAGAAAAATGCCTAAACTATTACCTGGCATTCCCCCCTCTGCAAAAAAACAAAACAAAACCAAACAAATAGAAAGGACTTGCAGTTCATTATACAAATCGTTTCACAAAGGATAGTAAAATGGAAGAAGTGGATTTCAGTTGCTTTCAAGTCTAGAAAGTTATTTGTAACACTGGCTGAGAAACGGATCAGTTTTTCCCTTCCAAGGCTGGAACTGAATGAAGCCCCTGGACTGATCTGACAATAGCAAACTACAGGGAGAGAGCAAGCTAGATCCCAGTCAGCCCCATCACCATCTGATTGCTCCTTCTGGGTGGTCCTGGGCTCCCTGGCATTCGCTGGCATCTCTACCCTACAGGGTTACCGGTATGCCATTTTAGATGTTGGAAATATTTTGGGGGGCATGATATACTTTATTCCCGTCACTAAGGGCAAATCACTTCACTATTTATACTGTGCTAAGACTCAAAGTCTTTTCTGCCGAGTCTAGATGCTTTGAAACTTTAACTCGAGGTCTCACATAGTTAAATCCTTCTCTTAAGGACTTCAGTTTGTCAACTAAAATGCTTCTGAGTGAAAGCTATTAGCAATGAAGAAAACGTTTCTGTTATGTTTAATTGGAAATTTATACATTCTATTTTATCCCACCTTTCTTTTTTTTTTTTGTTCTTTTTGTTTTTCAAGCTAGTTTGTGTGTATGTGTGTGTGTGTGTGTAGCCCTGGTTGTCTTGGAACTTGCTTTGTAGACCAGGCTGGCCTCGAACTCAGAGATCTGCCTTCTTCTGTCTCCCAAGTGTGGGAACTAAGCTGTCTGTATACCACTGTACCCGGCTCAATGTCACAAATAGAAAAATAAATCAGTGACAAGTGTCTAAAACAATGTAAACAAGTAGTTTGTGTATAAACTTATAGAATCAATGTTTACTTTTTTCCTGAATTATTATGAAACAGTCTTATTTGGATATAATTTACATATTCAACTTGTCCATTTGAAGTTATAGTTAGGAGGTTTGAATTATATTCTGAGTTTTTGCACTAGTTTTTATAAATCTTTTTCAGGCTTTGTTTGGATATCATGCTTTTGTCTGCGAAGAATACTTAGTGTAGAAAAACCCCTTTAGCTGAATTTTAAAGACTAACCACAAGCATGCTTCAAGTAGCACATACACAAGACAGGTCAAAGGCGCTGCCTCTCCTGGCCTCCTCTAAACATACCACACGGTTTAAGCCTTTTTAATCGTCTATGGCTAGAAACCTGAGTTGAGAAAAGGGCTATATCTGCCTGGAACAATAATGTTAGATTTACTTGTGTTGTTTGAGTTAACAAGTGATTGTTTTGAGAAATTAGTTGTTGGGGCTGGAGTGATGTCTTAGGTGTTAGGAGCATTGGGTGCTCTTCCAGAGGACCCTGGTTTAATTCCCAACCCACATGGTGGCTCACAGTAACTCCACTTCCAGGGGATCCAGTGCCACCTTCTGGCCTCCTCTGGCTCTTCATGCATTTGGTACTCAGACATATACATATGAAATAATAACATTAAATCAGTGGTCAAGATGTGTGATGGGAGAACCCAGTGCAGTGATGGAGAGCTGCTGCTATGGGTACCTTGTACAGTTTTAGTGTCTGTGCAGGGTTAGATCTTAGTGTTTTCGGTATTTCTAAAAAAATGCCAGTTAATCAGGGAAATGGCATTCCAATTTGAAATGGCAATAGAGCAAAGAGGGGAGTGGGTTACAGCATTTTAAGTCAGTGTTAGGGGACCTCAAAAGACTCTTCTCTCCATGAAGATGAAAGGATGATAAATACAGTTATGATTTTTTCCATGTAAGGTTTTTCTTAGTAACCTTAAAAGCAGCTCATGCTTTTTAAAATGATAGGAAAACAAAAACACAAACTCAAGGGTGAGAGACGAATGACGGAAACCGATAAGGGAGAAACCAGAAGGCTGGGCCTGGGATGTGCAGATGGCGGTGAACAGAGAGCGGCTGTGTCCCACGTCCGTGATGCCAGTGTGTATGGCGGAGCTGCGGCCAAGACAGGAACTTCCCAAGTCCATACGGACATCCGCAACCACAGTCAGGATCAAGACCGGAACTTCCCAAGTCCATACGGACATCCGCAACCACAGTCAGGATCAAGACAGGAACTTCCCAAGTCCATACGGACATCCGCAACCACAGTTAGGATCAAGACAGGAACTTCCCAAGTCCATACGGACATCCGCAACCACAGTCAGGATCAAGACAGGAACTTCCCAAGTCCATACGGACATCCGCAACCACAGTCAGGATCAAGACAGGAACTTCCCAAGTCCATACGGACATCCGCAACCACAGTCAGGATCAAGACCGGAACTTCCCAAGTCCATACGGACATCCGCAACCACAGTCAGGATCAAGACCGGAACTTCCCAAGTCCATACGGACATCCGCAACCACAGTCAGGATCAAGACCGGAACTTCCCAAGTCCATACGGACATCCGCAACCACAGTCAGGATCAAGACCGGAACTTCCCAAGTCCATACGGACATCCGCAACCACAGTCAGGATCAAGACAGGAACTTCCCAAGTCCATACGGACATCCGCAACCACAGTCAGGATTAAGACAGGAACTTCCCAAGTCCATACGGACATCTGCAACCACAGTTAGGATCAATTAAGTTTTGTTCTGAAGCTGGCATCAATTCAAAGTAGATATGTAGATTTCTTTGTCCCAATTAAAAACAAATTGCTTAGAAAATGTTTTAGTGCCCATCAAGGTGAATATCCATACAATGTTACATTTATTTTTCCTTTTTATGACAGAGCAGTATTGCAAGGCCACAGTTTGCTTGTGGCTCCTTTTCACTCCTGATTGAAAACAGACACAGGAGATGGTGAAAAGCAGATTAATATTAAGAGCAAACTCTACTTGGAAACTTGAAAGCCGCTGCTGCCAATATGTAGATTTGTGTCTTATGTTAAGAAAAGGCGTCCAACACTTAGAAAGAGCGAACCAGACAAGTACGTGCTGTTTCGGCATAAGGGCAGCCCAGCCGAACAGACCCACCCAAGGGCTATTGCATTCTGTTGACTGAGACCCAGGCTGCCGCTACAGGGACTTGTCTGGCTTTGTCCAGAGGGCATGCAAATAAATTGTCTGGTAGGCAAGATAACG